TGTCACTCCTGGACACAGCACTGCAGGGTGTGTCACTGCCTGTCACTCCTGGCACTGCAGGGTGTGTCACTGCCTGTCACTCCTGGACACAGCACGGCAGGGTGTGTCACTGCCCGTCACTCCTGGACACAGCACTGCAGGGTGTGTCACTGCCCGTCACTCCTGGACACAGCACTGCAGGGTGGGTGTATCACTCCTGGAGAGAGCATGAAGTTGACTAGTGAGATGTGGCCTCTTGACCCACCTTCCCTGTTTGATAGTTAGTACCCCTTTATCCGAGGATCTCATCCATCTGTTTCCTGAAAGAAGCTAGGGCTCTGGCTTCAGCCACATGGCTGGGTAGCTTGTTCCACACTCCCACAACCCTGTGTGTAAAGAGGTGCCTCCTGTTCCTAGTTTTAAACACACTTCCACACGGTTTCCACTTGTATTCTCTGGTTCAGGTCTCACTGCTCTGATGAAATCCCCTGAGGTGACTTTGTTGGTGCCTTTCAGGATTTTGAATACTTGTCTTAGGTCCCCTCTTAATCTTCTTGTTTCAAGATTGAAATGTTCATTTATTTCAGCCTGTCAGTGTAGCTCATTCCCTTAAGCCCTGGGATGTGTCCTGATGCTCTTCTCTGGACAGTTTCCAGAGCAGCAATATCTTTCTTAGAGAAGACAGAGGTCTGTTCAGTCTGCGAGGGGCAAGTGCACACAAGATGACTGCTGAGACAAGGACATTCTGTCCTTCGTGGTCCTGTGGTTATTAGCGTTCTTTGCTCAGAAGAGCTCTTTTCTTGCTACTTAGAAAAACCGTTTCTGTGCGGCTAGCCACTCAGTTCAGGAAGTGACAGGCCTGTACAGCAGTAAGTGCACTCAGGAGATAAAGATGCATACCCACGATGCCCTGGGAGGAGCCCAGTGGGAAGAATGACCGTATCAGAGCTCGTGGTGGATAATAGCCTGATCAGGAATAAATGCGGGTATTAAAATGACAGGTGTTTCAGAGCTTTCTGCTACAATAAATATTCTTGTTTTCTGGGGCGTGTGAAGGCCCGTACTTATGCTAGTATGGACGTGGATGGCTGTTTCGCGAGCTGATATGGGCTCCCTGTCAGTGTTCGCCACCTTGTGTTGTAATTGCTAGTTGCTGGAATTTTTAGTTGGACGAAAGAAAGCTGTGCTTGGTGTGCATTTAGGAAGATATAGAAAATGAGGCAACTTTTAAAGAACTCACGCCCCTGGCTTACTCATAATGACCGTTTTCTTCACACCTGTATAATTCCACTGTGTTTATTATGGGGTGAGACTCTCCCACATTTCTTCTGGGCATGTTTCTGTGCTGTCTATGGATTTTTATTCTCTTAGTGTGTTTTTTCACACAGCAGTCCCAACCCACTTGATTTCATGTGTGATTATTTTTAGGATGTGAGAAAAACTCTGTTAGAGATGTGACATGAAAAAACCAGACTGTTTTGCACGTAAGCCGGCCCTTCCTGGTGCCACAGCACGAGTCAACACCTGTATCCTTTTAGCACAAGGCTTACCAGATACAAGTGTGACACCTGCTGGCGGGAACAAGGTAGTAGAAATCAGTTAGTAATGAATTCGTGATTTATATGGCTAATATCCAAAGTGACTTAAATTTGACCCTATTAATACAACCGTGTCTTTTAATGGGAGGATACTGGTGAAATCCCTTTCTCAAGGGTACAACAGCAGTGTCTCACCTGACTTCACGGGCCCAGAACCTTAACCACTGCCCCACACTGCTGCCCCCTAATGATGATGTGTAGTATGTCCCCTGTTACTAACAGGGAAGCAGTGGAGTGAAAAGAAATTGGAGTTTTGTGCCATGTGGGATGTTAGTTCAGAGGGATTCATCCAGGAAGATGCTCGAGAAGATGGAGAAGGTTGAAGCTGTGGTGTGGGGCAATCTGATCTGTTTCCAAGCAGCTGTGCTGAGAGTTGACAACGCGCTGGGGGCGTACAGTGTCATGTGCTGCTTGGGTGGCCGTGTGCTGACTCACTGCTGCCCCCTGTCTGCTGTGCAGGTCCGTGTACGATGGCCAGGAGCATGGGCTCTTCATGGAAAAGCTGGAAGGGCGCATCAAGAACCACGACCGCGAGATTGAGAAGATGTGCAACTTCCACTTCCAGGGCTTTGTGGACTCCATCACTGAGCTGCTCAAAGTGCGCGGGGAGGCCCAGAAGCTCAAGGTATGGAGGGGCCGGAGGAGTGGGGGGCGGGGCCAGAGGAGTGGGGGGCGGGGATATGAGACTGGAGGGCGGGGGGCCAGAGACTGG